TCGGTGTTGGTAGGAGGACAGAGGTCAACCCCTAGGCCCCTCGTTTGTAGGGTGCCTCAGGGCTTGGTCCTCTCTACCCTCCTATTTAACATCTACATGAAGCCACTGGGTGAGTTCATCCGACGATACGGGTGAAGTATCAGCAATACACTGATGATACCCAGCTGTATATCTCTACCCCGTGTCAATTCAGTGAGGCGGTGGATGTGATGAGCCGGTGGCTGGAGGCCGTGAGGGTCAGGATGGGAGTCAACAGGCTCAGACTTAACCCAGACAAGACCAAGTGGCTTTGGGTATTGCCTCCTAAACACCATGCCGATTGTCCATCCTTGGTTCTGGGGGGGGGAGAGAAATTGTCCCCCTCAGAACGGGCTTACAATTTGGGTGTCCTCCTAGACTCACAGCTAAGATTGGAGCAACATCTGAAGACTTGGCTATCTCAATGAATGGGCTGATGCTGATTCTTGGGTTTTATTATTTATTGATTTTAATTTGGTTTTAACAGGGTTTTATTATTTTATCATTTTATGTTTTTAACCTGTGTTCACTGTCCTGAGTCCTTCAGGAGAAGGACGGCATATAAACACTGCCAAATAAATAAATAAACATCTGTCAGCTGTGGCTAGGGGGACCTTTGCACAGGTTCGCCTGGTGCACCAATTGCAACTCTACTTGGATCAGGAGGCTCTCCTCACAGTCACTCATGCCCTTGTCACCTCACGGTTAGATTATTGCAATGCGTTCTACATGGGGCTACCCTTGAAAAGTGTTTGGAGACTACAGTTGGTCTAAAACGTAGCCACGAGAGCTGTCGTGGGTGCACCTAGGTACACCCACATTGCACCAATTCTCCTCAAGCTGCACTGGCTCTCTATTGGTCTCTGGTCACAATTCAAGGTGTTGGTTATTACCTTTAAAGCCCTACATGGCTCAGGGCCAGGATATCTTCGAGACCACCTTCTACCGCATAGCTCCCAGCGACCAGTAAGATTCCACAGAGTTGGTCTCCTCAGGGTCCCGTCAGCTAAACAATGCCAGCTGGCGGGCCCGCAGGGCAGGGGCTTCTCTGTGGCTGCCCCAGCTCTCTGGAACCAGTTACCTCCTGAGGTCCGGACCATCCCCACCCTATTGGCCTTCTGAAAAACGGTGAAGACCTGGCTCTTCCGGCAGGCCTGGGGCCGTTGATCTCGCTGCTGTGATTTGGCAAGATCTGGCCATGAATGATGTGAATGGGGTTTAATTGTTTTTAATGATTTAACTTTTAATGTTTTATATATGGTTTTTAAATGCATTGTAAGCTGCCTTGAGTCTTCGGAGAAAGGCAGCATACAAGTTGAACAAATAAATAAATATTTTTTTTATTTTTTTCCCTTTCCATGTCATTATTATTGGATTGTGGTCTGCCCATACATTTATTCCAATATCAATTTCTTGTATTTTAGCTATTAATTTTGTTGACATCCACATCATGTCTATTCTTGACCATGATAGATGTCTATTTGTGTAGAATGTATATTGCTTTTCTTTTGGATGGCTTCGCCTCCAAGCATCTTGTAGACTTAATTCATCTATCATTGTGGAAAAAGTTTTTGGCAATGTTTTTCTTATCTTCTTATTTAATTTTGTAGGTTTATAGTCCAACTCATTATCAATTATTGCATTGAAATCCCCTAATATACATATCTCTTCATATTCATTTCTATTATTTTTTTATGTAATTTCCCATAATATTCTTCTTGATTATCATTTGGAGCATATATTGCCACTAACAATGTTTTTTTTTTTTAATTCAAAGTTATTTCAACCATTAATATCCTTCCTTCCTCATCTTCAAAAATCTGTTTGGATTGAATTGTTTTATATATATATATAATGCTACCCCTCTTTTACTTTGACTGGCGAGTGTTGTATATAATATTCCTAATTTCTTTTGCTGCAATATATACTTATGCTTTTTCTTAATATGAACTGGGTTGGCATACCTTTTTATGGTACGGGAAACAAAGGATACATGGATATTTCCAAAGACATTATTTAAGAAATGGTTTGCTATCAGTGTGGGAGAGAGTGAAAGAAAAACATTTTATGAATATTCCAATGTGGCTTTCTACAATAGAAGCGGTGACATACCCAAATATTGTGAACATGGGGAATATTGCTAGATATAAAGACATTTTGACAGATCAGGGAGAACGGAAACAAAAACAAGAAGTAGAGAGCCAAGGGATTGAGACAGATTGGTATACAAGACTGCAAATACAATCAAGATATGAAGCAGATCGTAGGCAATATGGCTTTAACTTGGGGAAATTAGAACTGGATGAAATATTGACAGGAACAGATGAGACAATGATTAAGAAATTATATAATTATTTATTGCATATTAGACTAGAAGATGAAGAAGTAAAAGAAACAATGATAGCATGGGCAACAGCCTATAAATAAAACCTGTATAAGATGTTTTATAGATGGCATATGCCACCAGAAAGATTAGCTAAGATGTTTAAAGATAAATCAGCTAAGTGTTGGAAATGTCACCAGTTGCCAGGATCATACTATCATATGTTGTGTAAAGAAGCAAAACAATATTGGGTGAAAATACAAACATGGTTAGAGGGAATGCTGCAGCAACATATAGAGTTAAAACCAGAGATATTTTTATTGGGAATTTTACCAGAGAATTATAGCAAAGAAGATACATATTTGATTATTCATATAATGACAGCAGCTAGAATTGTATTTCCACAAAACTGGAAAGCAGATAAAATTCCGTTGGAAGGAGAAATTATAAAGAAAGTTTTAGAATGTGCAGAAATGAATAGATTAACACTGAGAATAAAAGATAAAGAGGAGTAGATGTATTTCAAGACAGGGATAAATTTTATGATTGGTTAGAAAAGAAACATGAATAAGGACATAGAGATAAAATAGATAGAGAATAGATGGGAGAAAACAATTAGAAAAATAGATACCCAAATGGTGTCAAGTAAAAGGAGAAAGGGGTGGGGGTTAAAAGGGAAAAAAGTGAAATATTATAAAAATGTAGGCAAATGATGAAATAAAAATAAATATTAATTGAATAAGAAATTGAAATGAGAATAAAGATAATTAGGAAATCGGGGCTGCTCGAATACCACTTTAGATTGAATTGAAGAGGGAAACAACAGGAGAGAGGAGAAGGAGTAGAGAGAGGAGAAGGGAAAAGAGACGAGAGGAGAGAAGAAAGGAGAGGAAGAAGAGGGAGGGGAAGAGGAGGAGAGGAGAAGGTTAGAAGGGGAGAAGAAGAGAGGAGTGGGGGAAGAGAAGGGGAAGTAGGAAAGAGAAGGTGAGGAAGAACGAAGGAAGTAGGAGGAGAAACAGGAAGGAAGAGAAGGGGAGGAGAAGAAGAAAGGTTGGAGTAAAGGTAAAGGGTAAAAGAGCAGCCCCGAAAAAGAAAAAATGAAAAATGAAAGTTAAAAGACAGTGAACCAACTTTAGAAGAACTAAATGCAGCCCTGGACTCCCTTGCCTCTGGCAAGGCATCCGGGAAAGATAACATTCCTGCCGAAGTTCTGAAGTGCTGCAAAGAGAACATCTCCCATGAACTGCATGAAATCTTCTGTCTTTGTTGGAGGGAAGGTGGAGTACCACAGGACATGAAGGATGCAAATATCATCACACTGTACAAGAACAAAAGTGACAGGGGTGACTGTAACAACTACCGTGGCATCTCTCTTCTTAGTGTTGTAGGGAAGCTGCTTGCCTGTGTCCTACTGAAGAGGCTCCAGGTGCTTGCAGAGAGTCTATCCAGAATCACAGTGTGGATTTCGAGCCAACAGGTCCACTACTGAGGTCCACTACTGATATGGTATTTTCCCTTAGACAGTTGCAGGAGAAATGCAGGGAACAAAGACAGCCCCTTTTTGTAGCCTTCATAGATCTTACAAAGGCTTTTGACTTGGTTAGCAGGGATGGCCTTTATAAAATTCTCCCCAAGATTGGATGTCCACCTTGACTTCTCAACATCATCAGTTCCTTTCATGAGGAAATGAAGGGCACTGTAGTTTTTGATGGCTTAACTTCAGATTCCTTTGATATTCGAAGTGAAGTGAAGCAGGGCTGTGTCCTCGCACCACTTTCACTCTCAAACTTTAAATTATCTGTTTCCTTTATGTCAAATCGTCAATGGTATCCAGATTCCCCCTTGGTTCTTTTCCTTCACTCCGCTGATATTATAATTTCTAATTCGTTGTTTCTTGTCTTGCCTTTTGGTGTTTTTAAAAATAGTTTGACCCCCTCGTTTTTGTAGGAGTACCTCAAATATTGGGAAAGTGCTATCATGCCATCCCACTTTTTTTCTCTAGATTAGTCATACCCTCTAAGTGTTGGTCATATGTTTTAGCCTCCAGCTCCTAATCTTTATTGTTCTTCCTCTCTGCACACTTTCTAGAGTCTCAACACCTTTTTATATACTTTGGTGAGCAGAACTGGATACAATTTTCCGAGTGTGGTTTTACTAAGGCTTTGTAAAGTGATACTAGAACTTCATGTGATCTTGATTCTATCCCTCTATTAATGCTTTCCAGGATTCTATGGTGGTGGTGTTTTTTGCCTGGAAAAATTTCATTTCAATGAATTTCCCATATTATTAATCTTAATAACAGTTTACAGTGGAAATAGATTGATGGGTAGAGAGTGAATGGTTATGACCCAGTATAAAAGCCTTTTTTTAAAAAAAACCCAAAACAGTTAAATATTCAGGATTCACAAACTCAATGTCGATCACATTTCAAAGAACCCCAACAAATCCTACCTAATATACTATAACACTGTATTAAATATATATTGATAAAATGGTAGTCAGCTTTTTATTATATTTGTACAGAGCTTTAGGAATTGAAACTGTAAAACCCAGAAAAATGTCTCTGCGAATATTGGACATCATTTGAGTCAATATCTGAAATATCCTAATAGTGACTAAGAAAACTAAATCAAAGTCAAGTTCAGCAAGAGTGTTGAAAGGGAGAATGGATTAGGTTAAAGAATCCTGGACAATTATAGAAATGCAGCAACCTGAGCACTGACTTTGGAATGGGTTTAAGGATGAATTAATCTTAAATAACCTACATTAATCCTTCCTTGACAGAAAAACAAAACAAAACTATGTTCCTACAGTCCTGTAGACTGTAAACAGTTTTTTATTCTTTTTTTCAGCAATTTTACCTAGAAAAAAAGATCACATGATGTACTAATTTCTCTTTGTGAGATTCTCCCTGTAGTTGAGGTCAGGCCGGAAAACAATGATGTAGCATTTTGGGAGGAATATGCATCCCAGTAACGCAGCACTGGAGGACAAGATGGAGAAAACCTCCACAGCTACCATGGCTTTTCCTTTTGTGCTCTGATAGGCTGGAAAGAAAGAGATCCACACACTGCAAAAGGCCAACATGCTGAAGGTGATGAACTTGGCTTCATTAAAGCTGTCAGGTAATTTACGGGCAAGAAAAGCCACAATAAAGCTGGCAATGGCCAAGATACCCATGTAGCCCAAGACACAGTAGAATAAGAAAGCTGACCCCTCATTGCATTGTAAAATCATTTCTTGGAGTTCAGAGTGCATGTCCAAATCAGGGAATGGAGGAGATGTTGACAACCAAAGAATACAAATACATACCTGGAAGAGAGAGCAAGAAAGGACAATACAAAAAGATAATCTTTTCCCCACCCATCTCCTCATCTGAGATCCTGGTTTCGTGGCCATGAAAGCCACAACCACAATGATGGTTTTGGCCAGTACACAGGAAATGGCCACTGAGAAAGTGATGCCAAACATTGATTGTCGAAGAAGGCAGATTACTTTGTCAGGCCGGCTAAGGAAGAAGAAAGAGGAGAGAAAACAGAGGAGAAGAGAGACAAGCAGGATGTAGGTGAGGGATCGGTTGTTGGCTTTGACAATGGGAGTATCCCTGTACTTAACAAATGTTCCAAGTACCCAAGATGTCAGGAAGAATAAACCAAGAGCTGCTGAGGTTAAACCAATTCCTAACGGCTCTTCAAATGTTAGAAACACCACCAGTTTCAGGATACAGCCTTTCTTTTCTTTATTGGGATAATGATCTTCTGAACATGGAAAACAGTCATCCATATCTGGAAGGAAAATCAAGGAAATTGTCATATAGGCTTTCTAAATTATTGAAAATCACATTATCTTTATGCACCCATGTAGTTTATTGAAGTTTGCTTAAGTCTAATGAAATGTGGTAGAATTGCAATCCTACCATTTTGATCTGAAATCTTCCCTTCAGGGCATGGAACACAGTCATAGCAGCAGAACTGATTTCCCTCAATCCCTTTCTTCCAGGATCCAGGGAAACAAGGGTCATTACATTGAGAAATTGGAAGAACCTGATGAGAAACATGAAAATGTTTTGAAAAGGAAAGTTTTTAAAAGAGTTTCTGAATTTTCTCCTTAATGGGATAACACGATTATGGACTTCCCAAAAGGATGCAGAATGTAATAACTTCATCAACAACTTAAAATAATGTAGAAATTATAATGATATAAAAAAGCTCCTGTCTGAAGAGGCGGGTAAATAAATAAGTACACATGGTGACAATCTCATGGAAACATCGCCACTCTTGTGATTTCAAGTGGAAATTCCCACCAAATATGCAATCCTGGCTTTTACATTGTAAAATTCGATACCCTACAATGACCGTTTCTGCATTTGCAGAGTGGCAGAGGTAGAAGACCAGGCTCACATCCTATTTGACTGTTGCTTGTATAAGGGGGTGAGAGACAGGTACTTTGGTCCATATACCAAAGGAATGACCCATTGGGATCCCCATATCAAAACAACTTACTTTATGTGCGTCCAGAGCCTGAAAATAACATTTAACACAGCAAAGTACTTAAACAAAATGGTTCAGTTGAGATCTGCAAACATGGGACTGATTGGGGTAGATTGTAAAGGTGGCTGTCGAACCCCAAATGGTAATATAATTTTACGTCATTTTATTCTATTTTATATATTTATGTATTAAATTATATTGTATCTTAGTCTATAACGATTGTATTTTACCCTACTCTTATTTTAAATTGTTTGTATAAGATTTTATTGGCGATATGTGTTTGCACCTTGTTCTTTGACATGACCTAGAGGGTAATCAAAGCTATCATTTTAAACTGTATTTTATTCCAATTTCATTTTAAATTGTATTTTATCCAATTCCATTTGAAATTGTTTTTATCAGATTTTAGTAATAATTTTTATGGAACTCTGCACTTTCATTTGGCCCAAAGGCTAATCAATAAAGTAAACTCTGAATTCTATATATTGTAATGTCATGTTTGTCAATTTGAGGAATCCTTGATCATCCACAACATTTGAAAGAACATCCCATTGTTTATTAAAAAAATACAGAAATTGGATTTCTAAAGAAACTGTGTTCAATATGGGATCAAAATGGATTAAGGCATGCTGGATTCACTAATTCGATACCTGGTTAAAACCTGGGTGCCATTCAACTAAATCTTCATCAATGAATAATTCCTTTCCTTTTGGAGCCTGTAGATCCATCTCTCCAACTCTAACTCTCTGAAAGGATCTGTTTGGAAAGGTGATCAAGTTGATGATGTCGAATCCGCCAGTTGCTTCCCCTTTCTCATTCAGGGACACTCCCTCCCCAGCTGAATTGTTGAAAGAAATGCCATGAAGAAATGAATGGAGCTATATGAAAAAGAATAAAAAAGAGAAAGAGTTGAAAGCATGATTGTAGAGAGGAGACCATCAGATTCAAGTTTCACTCACTCGTTTTTTCAATTCCTATAATATGTACAATTATAACACAAATCAGATTTTCTTTATGTATTCTGTGCAGAATGGAATAACAGAATTAGAAGGACTTTGGACGTTTTCTAGTGCAACTCCCTGCTTAAAGAGGAGATCGTTTCAGACAAACGGTTGTCCAATCTCATCATAAAAATTCCCAGTGATGGAACACTCATAAGTTCTGAGTGCAAGCTGTCCAACAAATTAATTTTTCTCACAATTTTGAGGTTCTTTCTCACGGTTAACTTGATTCCACACAGAGAAAATATTTTTTTAAAAAAAATTCCACAATGCATTCAAAACACAATTCTACATCAAACTGCTCATTGCAATAAAACTGTCCAATGCAGAGACAATACCTGCCAAGCCTGGATATCTGGATTTTCAGGTTTTTTACTCATTATATTTTTTTTTTGTATTATAACTCAGCATGAGTAATGCTTGCAAAGCATGAGCCACAGCATAAACACCATTGTAGATACCATAGCTTTGGCCAGTCATTTCCATTTCAAAGACAGGCGCAGGAAGATCCTCCAGTTTCTACCCAGTGCATTTCTTACTGTGCATATCTTGTAACTCTGATTTTGAAAATGAACAGTCAAATGATTGTTCCCAAAATTCATGCAGAAACCCATTTCTGTAGACTGAAAGAGGATTTACGGTCTGAAGAAATTCCTTGAAACCCACAATAGATAATGAATGAGCATTGAAGGAAATAGCCCCATGGAACATCTGGAGATCCCACGCGATTTGAAATCCCGATAATATGAAATCAATCTGCGCAGTCATAATCCACACCTTTCTAAATAATTCAATTTCCTTGCTTTCAGGATCTATCATAAATCTGACAAATCTTAGGGACATAATTGTCCAGGATTCTCCATAGACAAGAAATGTATTGGATTTGCTATTCATCATATTGATGGCAATAATTTCGCCTGCTTGAAAAGTTTCTTTGGAATCTTTCAAATGGGCAAGTTGTGAAATCCTTTGAATAAATGATAAACATATTCCATTCTGTGAAACTAAGGGCTGCATTTTCTGTAAGAAATTTTCTCCATTATTGCTATCAACAGCAAAAATCCCAATCCATGTCCACCTGAAATGATGAAGCAGCTGGATGATTCCAATGTATTGATGGTCCTCTTTGGGGACCATGAAATAAAGCGAAGAGAATTTACTAGTCTGAAATTTCTCCTGGTCTAATGAGCCATATGTCAGCTGCAAGAAAATGGAATAGGATTTTGTTCAATTATTAAATTGAATCTATTTTTTCCCACTCTAGTTTTCTCATATATCCATATATAACATTTTCTTACATAACATTTTTTCCTAGAATTCTTCTAAATATTAACGTAGAAAGGAATTTCTTGGAATTACTTCAAGCACATATAAGAGATCAATTGTTTTAATAGAAGCAATTCAAATATTCTGTCAGCTATGGCCCTCATACTCACTTCTTGTAACTGGCATTGTAGTTTCAGAAAAGAATGCTAAGTAGGAGACCTTTTGCCATGTAGAACATCTTAATACAAACCTGAGATTAATCTTTGATGCCCATTAATTGTTCCATAACAACAATATTAAAAATGTTCTTCCCAACCCCTTCAGAACTTACTTGTGGAATCTTGAACAAGTCTATAATTTCAGCTATGTAAGATGATGTGTCAAAATCCAATCCTCCAATGATTGCCATGAGATTCTTCTGGCTATCACATTTGTAGTTAGGGACAAATTCCTGGGATTTGAAAAGCATGTCCTGAGTGGTGCGATAGGTCATCCTTGCATTGCAATAACTGTCATAGATGTGGAACCCAAGAGTGATGTTAGGTAAGATCTGGGAGTCTTCATTGATCTCCTTCACAGCAAAGGCCAAGGCAAGGACATGTTGATGAAATTTGGTGATTACACTGCAAATATTTTAAATACCCCAGTTGAAAATGTAAGCTGACAATTCTCAGAAGGTAGCACCATTTCTGGATAAAGAACAAACATTTCTTTCTGTGATGGTAATAGAAAGAAAATAGCCTTTCTAAAATTCTTAATTTCTACAGAGTGGTCATTGGTGCTGTCAGAGTTTGGTTGCTTTCTTGTAGATGTTTCTTTACCAAAAGACAGTAACATAATCCCCAACCCAAACTAGATAATATCACCACTGTCTGGCACTGATGATATTATCTAGTTTGGATAATGAAATGACTGCAAGAAAACAATTAATGTCAGAGAGCAGCAATAATCCCTCATTTCAACCCTGAACTAAAATATTCTCCTTTATTGATAATTTTATTTTTCTTTTCATACAGTATTGCAACAGATACATACTGCAATAAATAAAAGTACTGACTTTTTTCGAAGTGCTATATTTATTTTCTAAGAGATTTTCAGAAAATGGTATATGAACAGATTATTATTATTATTATTATTATTATTATTATTATTATTATTATTATTATTAAACTCGGTCTACAGAACATTCAAAAATGCATCACAAATACCATTGACTGGTGCTAATGGTTGATATGGGTTGCTGCCAGCATCCTAGGTATCAACCAAGTACCTTCTTAAGATGTACGATGTTCCAAGTAGCACAGTTTTTTGCAGTTCCACTGGTGTTATTGCAGGACGCTGTAATTTGTTCATGTATCTTATAAAATTCTTGGATGTGGTACCAAGTGCCCTGATGACAATGGGTATGACGGTTATGTGTTTCATCCATAGCCGTGTACTTTCAATGGCCAGGTCACAATATTTCATGACTTTTCCCAGTTCTTTTTCTATGACTCTGGCGTCTCCTGGTACCATGATGTCAATAAATTGTACGTTTCAGTTTTCGACGACTGTGATATCTGGTGTGTTGTGTTCCAAGTGACGATCCATCTGTATTCGAAAGTCCCACAAGATCTTCACCTTATCATTTTCTATAATGTTTTCCACTTTATGTTCCCATGACTTTTTGAATATAGGTAAGTCTTATTTTTTACATAATGACCAGTGGATTAATTTAGCAACTCGGTCGTGTCTAGCTTTGTAATCAGTTTGTGCAATTTTGTTGCATTCATATATTAAATGTGAAACAGTTTCGACTTTGTTGTTGCAAAGTCGGCAGTTTGGATTGTCAGTGGATTTTTGTATCTTTGCTTTCATGACATTAATTTGTAGTGCTTCTTCTTCTTTTTTTTTTATTGCAAAGTTTTACAATTACATTTTCACCCCTTTTCCCCCCCGCCCCCCCAAACTTCCCAACCTCCCTAACCCTCCCTAACCCTCCCCCCCCAGACTTCCCTGTAATATATTCATACTCATAAAAAACCCTTAATATAACACTCATATATAAACTTGAACCCCTCCCTCCCCTATATAATTTTTCTCTTTACCTCATTACATTAAAATATTTCCAATACATTATTTTCAAATAAAAGCTATTTGATACTTTCTAGTTTGATATTTGTTCTGAACATATTCTATCCACCTTTTCCATTCCATTCATAAGTCTCTTGTGAACAATCTTTTAAATATGCTGAAATCTTCGCCATCTCTGCAAAACTGGCCATCTTCAAAGTCCATTCCTCGATAGTGGGCAAAGCTTCATTAACCTTCCATGTCTTTCTTGATGGTTTCCATCTTAAGCCATGCCCATGTAAAGTTGTCATCACATTTTCCTTCAACATTTTTCAAGTGCTGTCCATGCAAAGCTTTGGTTTTCCATCTATTTAATCTGTCATCCAGCTGCTTTTCCTATATTTTGCCTTTGTTTCTGTTGTTTTTATAATGTTCTCCATTTTTACAGCCTACAGCAATTTTTCAATTTGCAACAGTTCTCTACCCACTATTTTCCTTGGCAGGTACAACCTGGCGATATCACTTTGTGGATGTAAAGTGTGGTACATATTCAAAAGTTTGCGCATTTTCCAGTCCAGGTTTTCCAGTTCAGCCACAGTCCAGTTGATGATTCCAGCTGAGTATCATATCACTGGGACTGCCCATGTATTAATGGTTTAATTATGTTTCCAGCATTCAGCTTTGATTTTAATATTTTGCAGACCCTCCTGATGTATTTCTTTTGCATTGACTCTTTGACTTTTCCATTCATGATGATGATGATGATGATGATGATGATGATGATGATGATGATGATGATGATATATTAAACCAGTCAGCAGTACTAACAGAGAAAAAGGAGGGGGGGAATCAAAATACTCCAGGTATTATTTACTTACTGTATGTATGTTTTGTGAGGAGAGAGAATGTCAAACCTTTCTAAAATTATCTTTCCCTTAGAAAATGTTCAAATAGAACTTCTTGATCTGAAATTGTGAAAGACTTTAATAGAACGAAAAAAGGGTAATTTCCTCTTTCATAACTGGATACAATTGAAACAAAGAAAAGGCATAATGATATTAAAAACCCTACATTTATGGACAAAGAACTTTTAGTCATATAAAGGATTTTTGAAAATCTGGGTAAGATTAGCTAGAGAAAAAAAAATTCTTACTTTGGTATGTCATAAGGTTTCCTAGAAGGATTTTCACTGAATTTAATTTCATAAAGGTGGTAACTGAAGTGAGATGCCATGCCACCAATGATGATGTCTCCAGGCTGGTACCACTCATGTGGAACAAGGAAAGAATCACTTGCAGGGCATTCCAGAGTAGCTACTTTGTGTACCAAAAGCATCAAAAGAAACATCTTCATGCTTTTGTTATTGTGAAAATGTTTTCCCCTCCATCCTACTGATTGGGAAGTACCTATAATCCAATCCTTCATCTAAAGATTGATCCAAGCTTTATATCTGAGAATGCACTTAATGAGAAAAAATTTTCATTTTCTACTTGAAGATCGATGTGAGTGCAAATTTGTATCTTGTATACTGCCAGGATTTCAACAGATACTCTGGCAGAAGAAAACAGAGGGTAGAAACCTGAAGCAGTGAATCTGACAGAGCCATTATATACCCTTGTGCTAAACTTCCTGTGGTCAAGTGTTTCTTTATATGCATGCTGAGAGCTTGACTGTTACTGAATATCAATTCTCTTCTGGGCAGCCTTTGGTATTTTGGTCTAGCTAGGAAAAAACATGGTGATTCCTGTAGGAGATAATTATTTTGTTTTGATGAGATAATAATTGGCTAATGGTTCAAATCTTTTTTTTAAGTGACCAAATACCAATGAAAATAACATAAGAGAGGTTTTCAATAAAATATATGCTTGGTTCTTGAAATGGTTGAAAGTTTTTATTGAAGCATTTATTTTCTACCAATTTTTCTACAAGATAGAATATGAGCAGATCCAGTAGGTATAAGTCATTTATTGTATGCATTTTTTTTCAAGTAGAAACAATGCAGAATTTTTTTTAAAAGTACCTTAAGAGCCCTAAAAATCTTCAAAAGATTCCTGGTACCGAAGTTTCATACATTCTATTGCAAACACTTTAACGTAACTTAAAGCAGAGGTCCCCAACCCCCTGGCCATGCCAGAAACCAAGCCATGTAAACAAGAGATGCCTATCCGAGGGATGCAGGCAGCACGTGAAACCAAATTCTTCCAGTCTACAGGAAAACCGTTTCCCCCCAAGTAGTTTCATGTTTGTGAGATCTCCTTCAATCAGATAGCGATGCACAGTTGTTCTAGGATTTAGGCTGAATTTCATATTTGATTTTCTTGAAAAATGCCAGGTTCTTTATTATGGTCAATAGTCAGTATACATTTTGAACAAAGGGTGAGACAGAAGTAAGAATACAAAGAACATAAAATAATAGAGTTGGAAAGGAACTTGGAGATCTTCTCATCCACACACCCCTCCCCACTGAGCAGGAGATCCTATACCATTTCAAATAATTGGTTGTCCAGTCCCCTTTTCAAAGCTTCCAGTGATGAAGCACCCTCAACTTCTGAAGGGAAGCTATTCCATTAGTTGATTGCACTTACAGTTAGGAATTTCTCCTTAGTTCTAGCTTGCTTCCCTCCTTGCTAATTTCCATTCATTGTTTCTCGTCTTGCCTTTTGGTGTTTTGAAAAATAGTTTGACCGCCTTGTCTTTGTAGGAGTACCTTAAATTTTGGGAAAGTGATATCATCATCTCTCTTCTTCTCTCTAGACTAGTCATACCCTCTAAGTGTTGTTCATATGTTTTATCCTCCAGCTCTTAATCATTCTTGATGCTCCTCTCTGCACGCTTTCTAGAGTCTCAACCCTTTTTTTTATATTGGGGTGAGCAGAACTGGATACAATTTTCTGAGTTTGGTTTTACTAAGGATTTGTAAACTGATACTAGAACTTCACGTGATCTTGATTCTATCCATCTATTAATGCTTTCTAGGATTGTATGGTGTTGTTGTTTTTTGCCTGGAAAAATTTCATTTCAATGAATTTCCCAATTTATTAATCTTGATAATAGTTTGCAGTGGAAATAGATTGATGGGTAGAGAGTGAATGGTTATGACCCAGTATAAAAGCCTTTTTTTAAAAAAAACCAAAAACAGTTAAATATTCAGCATTCACAAATTCAATGTCGATCACATTTCAAAGAACCCCAACAAATCCTACCTAATATCCTATAACACTGTATTAAATATATATTGATAAAATGGTAGTCAGCTTCTTACTATATTTGTACAGTGCTTTAGGAATTGAAACTGTAAAACCCAGAAAAATGTCTCTGCAAATATTGGACATCATTTGAGTCAATATCTGAAATATCCTAATAGCAACAAAGAAAACTATATCAAAGTCAAGTTCAAAGGAAGCATTGAAAGAGAGAATAGATTAGATTAAAGAATCCTGGACAATGATGGAAACTTAGCAACAGGAACACTTACTTTGGAATGGGCTTAGATATTAATAAATCTTAAATAACCTACATAAATCCTTCCTTGACAGAAAAACAAAACAAAACTATGTTCCTACAGTCCTGTAGACTGTAAACAGTTTTTTTAAATTCTTTTTTTCAGCAATTTTACCTAGAAAGAAAGATCACATGATGTACTAATTTCTCTTTGTGAGATTTTCCCTGTGGTTGAGGTCAGGATGCAAAACAATGATGTAGCATTTGGGCAGAAATATGCATCCCAGTAATGCAGCACTGGAGGCCAAGATGGAGAAGACCTCCACAGCTACCATGGCTTTTCCTTTTGTGCTCAGATAGGCTGGAAAGAAGGAGATCCACACACTGCAAAAGGCCAACATGCTGAAGGTGATGAACTTGGCTTCGTTAAAGCTGTCAGGTAATTTACGGGCAAGAAAAGCTACAATAAAGCTGGCAATAGCCAAGATACCCATGTAGCCCAAGACACAGTAGAAGAATGAAGTTGACCCCTCATTGCATTGTAAAATCATTTCTTGGAGCGTTGAGTGCATGTCCAACTCAGGGAATGGAGGAAATGTCGACAACCAAAGAATACAAATCCATACTTGTACTAGAGAGCATGAAAGGACAATAGAAAAAGCCAATCTTTTCCCCACCCATTTCCTCATTTGAGATCCTGGTTTTGTGGCCATGAAAGCCACAACCACAGTGATGGTTTTGGCCAGTACACTAGAAATGGCCACTGAGAAAGTGACGCCAAACATTGATTGTCGGAGAAGGCAGGTCACTTTGCCAGGTTGGCTGAGGAAGAAGAAAGAGGAGAGAAAACAGAGCAGAAGAGAGACAAGAAGGGTGTAGGTGAGGGACCGGTTGTTGGCTTTGACAATGGGAGTATCCCTGTGCTTAATAAATGTTCCAAGGACCGAAGATGTCAAGAAGAAGAAACCAAGAGCTGCTGAGGCTAAACCAATTCCTAACGGTTCTTCAAAGGTTAGAAACACCACCGGTTTCAGGATACATCCTTTCTTTTCTTTATTTGGATAATGATCTTCTGGACATTTAAAACAGTCATCCATATCTGGGAGGAAAGTCAAGAAATTTGTCATCTAAGCGTTTCAATTATTAATTTTATGCACCCTAAAGTTTAATATTAAAGTTTGGTTAAGTCTAATGAAATGTGGTAGAATTGCAATCCTACCATTTTGATCTGAAATCTTCCCTTCTGGGCATGGAACACAGTCATAGCAGCAGAACTGATCCCCCTCAATCCCCTTCTTCCAGAATCCAGGTAAACAAGGATCATTGCATTGAGAAATTGGAAGAACCTGATGTTAAACAGGAAAATGTTTTGAAAAGGAGGATTTTTAAAACAATTTCTGAATTTTCTCCTTAATGCAATGACATGATTATCACCTTCTGAAATGGATAGGGAATTAAAATAATTCATCAACAAGTTAAAAGATGTAGAAATTACAATGTTTTACAAAAGATCCTGTTTGACAGGCAGGGTGAGTAAATGATTGCACAGGGTGGGAATCTTAAGGAAATATGGCCACTCTTGTGATTTCAAATGGAAATGCCCACCAAATATGCAACCATGGCTTTCACATTGTAATATCATATTTGTCAATTTGAGGAATGCTTGATCATCAACAACATTTGAAAGAATGTGGTATTGTTTATTTAAAAAAAAAGAAATTAGATTTCTAAAGAGACTATGTTCAATATGAGATCATAATGGATTAAGGCATGGTGGATTAACTAATTTGATACCTCATTAAAAGCTGGGTGCCAGACAATTAGATCTTCATCAATGAATAATTCCTTTCCTTTTGGAGCCTGTAGATCCATCTCTCCAACTCTAACTCTCTGAAATGATCTGTTTGGAAAAGTGATCAAATTGGTGATGTCGAATCCACCAGTTGCTTCCCCTTTCTCATTCAGGGACACTCTCTCCCCAGCTGAATTGTTAAAAGAAATGCCTTGAAGAAATGAATGGAGCTACTTGAAAGACAATAGAAGAGAGAGAGGGGGAATTGATAGCAACATAATAGATAAGAGGAAATCATATTCAAGTTACATTCACTCATTCTTTCCATTCCAATAAGTATTATTAAGTATGTACGCTCAGAAATTTGATAATCAATATTGCATGATAACGTACATGTCCACACTAAATTAATTATAGTGATGTTAATATATGAAAAGGAAAGAATGAACTGAAGAAAAATTTTAAAAGGATTTTGGAATTATGTAACTTCCTTAAATTATGATTTAGATTCACTTGTTTGTCAGTTTGACTAATGTCCTTTAGCCAAATTTTAGAATCTGAGACTCAAGCATTCCTTCGTAGAAAGATGCAAGATAGAGATTATTGTAAACATGTTTCATGTTTCATACTATATATGCCACATCTAAGAAAGGCCACTTTTATTTCGTTCCTCTAAAACTCTGATAGAGACAGAAAGCTCAGCTTGTTACCCATGAAAAAGTTCATGAGCCACATAGAAAATTCTTGGATAATTGATTATTTTTGGAGGAGACAATGAAAAGTAATCTAAATTATCATTTAACTCTCTCTTATTATGCAATGTTTAGTGATATACTAAAAAACTTCTACTGACATGTAAACCATAATTTATACAGTATTTTATCACAGAAACTATTTTTTTCTATATCTATTTCAGACACAACAATATATCAGAGTCAAAAGGGACCTAGAGGTCTTCTAATTCAACACCTTAGTCAAGGAGGAGACCCTATGATATTTCAGATAAGTGGCTGTCCTTCTCTTCATAAAAATCTCCAATGTTGGAGCATCCAAAACTTCTGAAGGCAAACTGTTCCACTAGTTAATTGTTCATTGTTCTCACCATTGGGAAATTCCTCCTTATTTCTAGGTTGCTTTCTCGTGCTTGATTTCACATTCAGAAAATATTAAGACAATGGGATCAAAATATAATTCTACGTCAAACTGCTTACTGAAATAAAAGAAGTGTCCAAGGCAAAGGAAATACCTGCCAAGCTTGGAGATGTGAAAGGTCAGGGTTTTTACAGATCACAGGTTTTTTTCTATTGAAATGCAATGTGTATAGAGCTTGCAAAGCATGAGCCACAGCATAAACAGCATTGTAGATGCTGTAGCTTTGGCCAGTCATCTCCATTTCAAAGGCAGGTCCAGGAAGATCCTCAAGCTTCATCTCCCCAGTGCATTGCCTACTATGCCTTTCTTGTAATTCTGGTTTTGGAAATGAACAATCAAATGATTGTTCCCAAACTTCCTGTAGAAACCCATCTCTGTAGACTGAAAGAGGATTTACAGTCTGAAGAAATTCCTTGAAACCTGTAACTGCTCTTGAATGAACAGTGAAGGAAAGAGCCCCATGGAACATGTGGAGATCCCAACTGATTTGGAATCCTGATAATATGAAATCAATCTGTGCAGTCATGATCCATACCCTTCTAAATAATGCAATTTCCTTGTTTTCAGGATCTATTATAAATGTGACAACTCTCAGCCACATAATTGTCAATGATTCTCCATAGACAAGAAATGCATTGGCTCGGCTATTTACCCAACTCATGGAAATAATTAAGATTCTTTGAATTACTTCTCGGTAGTCTTCCAAGTGGATTAGCTGTGCAAGTCTTTCTATGAATGATGAGCAGATTCTATTCTCTGAAAGTAATGGCTGCATTTTCTGTAAGAAATTTTCTCCATCATTGTTGTCAACAGCAAATATCCCAATCCATGTCCACCTGAAATGATGAAGCAGTTGGATAATCCCAATGTACTGATGGTCCTCTTTGGGGACCATGAAATAAAGTGTAGAGAGTTTACTGGTCTCAAACACCTCTTGGGGTAATGAGCCATATGTCAGCTGCAAGAAAGTGAAGTAATATTGTCTTGAGTTGTTAGATCAAATGCAATTGCCCAGATATATTTTCATACAAAATAGATGCAAGGAAGGAAATGTTTTCCTAAAATTCTTCTAGGTATTAATATGGAAATGAATTTATTGGAATTATTTCAAACACATATGATTGATCAATTATCTTGATAGAAGCAAAGAATACTATGTTCAAATCTTTCCTCAGGTATGGAATCTCTCTAGATACTCACTTCTTGTAGTTTCAAAATTATGCTAACTAATAGTCCCTAAGCTGGGCAGAACATCTTAATACAAAGCTAATACTAATGTTTATTGCTCCTTGATTAATCCATAACAACATCAAGAACAGAATATAGAATTGTTCTCTTTAGCCCTTTCACAACTTACTTGTGGAATTTTGAAGGATCCTGTAATTTCAGCAATATGAGATGATGTGACAAAATCCAGTCCCCCAATGATAGCCCTGAGGTTCTTCTGTCTATCACATTTATAGTTTGGGATGAATTCCTGGGATTTGAAAAGGAGGTCCAGAGTGGTACGATAGGTCATCCTTGCATGGAGGTAACTGTCATAGATGTGGAACCCAAGAGTGATGTTAGGTAAGATCTGGGAGTCCTCATTGATCTCCTTCACAGCAAAGGCCAAGGCAAGGATGTGTTGATGAAATTTGGTGATTACACTGCAAAGAATTTCAATAGTTGAAAGTGTAAATTGACGATGCTCATAAGGTGACAACATTTCTGTATAAATATCAAAGTTTTCTTTCTGTGATGGTAATAGAAAGAAAATAGCCTTTCCAAAATTCTTAATTTCTACAGAGGGGTTTTTGGTGTTCTCTGAGCTTGGTTGCTTTCCTCCAGATGTTTCACTACTCAAAATAGGTAACATCATCACAACCCAACACTGATGATGTTATCTGGAAGAAAACAATTAATGTCAGAGGACCCCTCATTTTCATCCGGAACTAAAAAATTTTCCCTTTATTGGTAATTTCTACACAACTCAAATTTATTTTACAAAGCATTTCCCTGACTTCCAAGAAATATGCACTGCAACAAGTAGTGACATTTTTCAGAGTATTATATTTTCTATGACATTTTCAAAAAATGGTTTATGAATAGATTCAGGAGGTAACACTTATTTACCGTATGTCTGTTTTGTGAGGAGAGATAATGCCAAATCTTTCTAAAAATTATCTTTATCCCAGTAAATCTTCAAATAGAGGCTTCTTGGTCTGAAGTTTGGTACATTTCATGTCAAAGACTTTAAAAATAATGTAAAGTAGATTATTTCTTCTTTCATAACCAGATACAATTGAAAGAAAAATAAGTCATAGATACATTAAAACCTCTACATTTATGCGCAAACAGCTTTTATTCATATGAAGCATTTTTGAAAATCTGAGTAAGGTAAGATAGAGAAAAAAATTCTTACGTTGGTATTTCATAAGGTTTCTTAGAAGGATTTTCACTAAATTTAATTTCAATAAGGTGGTAATTGAAGTGAGATGCCATCCCACCAATGATGAAGTCTCCAGGCTGGTACCACTCATGTGGAACAAGGAAAGAATCGCTTGCAGGGCCTTCCAGAGTAACTACTTTGTGTACCAAAAACATCACAAGAAACATCTTCATACTTTTGTTATCGTGAAAATGTTTTCCCTCCCATGTTGCCGATCAGAAAGTACATATAATCCAAGACTTCATCTAGAGATTTAGATCTGAGAATGCAGCTAGTGAGAAAATCTATTATTTTCTATTTGAAGATTGATGTGAGTGCAAATTTGTATCTTGGATGCCACCAGGATTTGAACAGATATTCTGGCAGAAAAGAACAGAGGATAGAAATTTGAAGCAACAAATCTGACAGAGATCTTATTACCCCTTGTACCAAATTCCCTGTGGTTTGTCGTTGAATTTCAATAGCCTTCTGTGCAGCCTTTAATGTTTTGGCCTATTCCTCTGGGATACAATTATTTTGTTTTGATGAGATAATAAGTAGCTGATAATTCAGCTTTTCTAATATATATATATATGAGCAATGACAATGAAAGTAGCCTATGGAAGATTTTCAATCGAATATAAATTTAATGGTTAAAAATAATGCTTTTTTCAAAGTACCACATTTATTTTCTACCACTTTTTCACAAAATAAAATATGAACAGATCCAGTAGATATCAGTCATTTATTGTATGTATTTTTTTCCACAAAGTAACAATGCAGAACTTTTTTTAAAATTACCTTAAACTCACTAACAATCTTCAAAAGATTCCTGTACTGAAGTTTCATACATTCTATTCCAAATACTTTAACATAACTTAAAGCAGAGGTCCCCAACCCCTGGCCATTCCAGAAACCAAGCCTATGTAAACAAGAGATGCCCTATCCATGGGATGCAGGCAGCACATGAAACTACATTCCTCCAGTCTGCAGGAAAATCTCTCCCCACCCCCAGGTAGTTTCACCTTTCTGATATCTCCTTCTATCAAAGAAGGATGCACATTTGTTCTAGGATTTGCCTCCCACCCCGAGATCAAACCCAACCCTGATGTGGCCCTCAATGATATCAAGTGTGACACCCCTGCTCTATTACATTTAATTTTCTTGAAAAATGTCAGACTTCTAATTGGAAGCCAAATCAATTCACTCTTTATTATGGTCATTAGTCAGTATACATTTTGAATAAAGGGCGAGACAGAAGGAAGAATACAAAGAACATAAAATAACAGAGTTGGAAGGGACCTTGGAGGTCTTCTAGTCCAACCCCCTGCTTAGGCAGGAAACCATAGACCACTTCAGACAAATGGTCATCCAACATCTTCTTAAAAATGTCCAGTGTTGGAGCATTCACAACTTCTGGAGGCAAGTTGTTCCACTGATTAATTGTTCTCAGTGTCAAGACATTTCTCCTCAGTTCTAAGTTGCTTCTCTCCTTGATTAGCTTCCACACATTGATTCTTGTCCTACCCTCAGGTGCTTTGGAGAATAGCTTGACTCCCTCTCTTTGTGGCAACTCTTGAGATATTGGAACATTGCTATCATGTCTCCCCTAGTCCTTCTTTTCATTAAACTAGACATACCCAGTTTCTGCAACCGTTCTTCATATATTCTAACCTCCAGTTCCCTAATCATCTTTGTTGCTCTTCTCTGCATTCTTTCTAGAGTCTCAACATCTTTTTTTATAGTGTGGTGAGCAGAACTGGATACAGTTTTCCAAGTGTGTCTTACTAAGGCATTGTAAAGAACTTCATGTAATTTTGATTCTATCCCTCTATTAATGCTTTCTAGGATTGTATTGTGTTGTTGTTTTTTGCCTGGGAAAAATGAATGAATTTCCCATATTATTAATCTTGATAACAATTGACAGTGGAAATAGATTTATGGGTCAATGGTTATGACCCAGTATGAAAGCCAATTTCTTTCAATAGAGTTAAATATCCAAGATTCACAAACTCAATGTATATTCCATTTCAAAGAACACTAACAAGTCCCACCTAATATCCTATAAAACTGTATTAAATATATATTCATAAAATGGTCAGCTTTTTATTATATTTGTACAGTGCTTTAGGAATTGAAACTGTAAAACCTAGAAAAATGTCTCTGCAAATATTGGACATCATTTGAGTCAATATCTGAAATATCCTAATAGCAACTATTCAACGGGAGTGTTGAAAGGGAGAATGGATTAGGTTAAAGAATCTTGGAAAATGATGGAAATGCAGCAACATGAGCACTTACTTTCGAATGAGCTTAAATATGAATAAATCTTAAATACCCTACATAAATCCTCCCTTGACAGAAAAACAAAACAAAACAACTTTCCTACAGTCCTGTAGTCTGTAAACAGTTTTTTATTCTTTTTTTCAGCTATTTTACCTAAAAAGAAAGATCACATGATGTACTAATTTCTCTTTATGAGTTGCTCTCTGTGGTTGAGGTCAGGGCGCAAAACAATAACATAGCACTTTGGCAAGAATATGCATCCCAGCAATGCAGCGCTGGAGGCCAAGATGGAGAAAACCTCCACAGCTACCATGGCTTTGCCTTTTGTGCTCAGATAGGCTGGAAAGAAGGAGATCCACACACTTCAAAAGGCCAACATGCTGAGGGTGATGAACTTGGCTTCATTAAAGCTGCCAGGTAATTTACGAGCAAGAAAAGCCACAATAAAGCTGGCGATGGCCAAGATACCCATGTAGCCCAGGACACAGTAGAAGAAGAAAGCTGACCCCTCATTACACTGTAAAATCGTTTATTGGAGCTCTGAGTGCATGTCCAACTAAGGGAATGGAGGTGATATTGACAACCAAAGAATACAAATACATATCTGGAAGAGAGAGCAAGAAAGGACAGTACAAAAAGATAATCTTTTCCCCACCCACCTCCTCATCTGAGATCCTGGTTTAGTGGCCATGAAAGCCACAACCACAGTGATGGTTTTGGCCAGTACACTAGAAATGGCCACTGAGAAAGTGATTCCAAACATTGATTGTCGAAGAAGGCAGATTACTTTGCCAGGCCAGCCAAGAAAGAAGAAAGAGGAGAGAAAACAGAGCAGAAGAGAGACCAGGAGGGTGTAGGAGAGGGACCAATTGTTGGCTTTGAAAATGGGAGTATCCCTGTGCTTAAAAAAAGTTCCAAGTACCCAAGATGTCAGGAAGAATAAACCAAGAGCTGCTGAGGCTAAACCAATTCCTAATGGTTCTTCAAATGTTAGAAACACCACAAGTTTCAGGATACAGCCTTTCTTTTCTTTATTTGGATAATGATCTTCTGAACATGGAAAACAGTCATCCATATCTGGAAGGAAAATCAAGGAAATGGTCATCTAGGCCTTCCAAAATATTGAAAATCACATTACTTTTATGCACCCATGTAGTTTATTAAAGTTTGCTTAAGTCTAATGAAATGTGGTAAAATTT